GCACATAACAGAAAAAGAGAGAGAGAGAAAAAAGGAAAAGAAAGAAGGAAAATTTTGCACCTATAAATTATATGATTTCGAAAGACGAGATCCAGTTGTACTACTGACTATTTAATGAATTATAGGTGTCACACCTAATGCTTTGTTTATCACACAGAACACGAGCTAAGCAGGGTATGGTTGAGTTTTTGTACTTGCTGGTGCGAGCATATAGTTTTCTATATTTGGGATTCTGGTTTTGCCTGATGAGATGCAAGGGGAGAGTTGTGAATGAAGAGGGTGGTGTGAGTTAGATAAAATGGATTTAGCCTGTCAACCAGAATATTAACAAGCTGGTTACGTGGCACGTTGCTTACCCTGCTGACAACCTTTAACATCCTGCGTAATATGTTATAGTCTTTCTTCAGTAGCCAGGGAAAAACTAAGGGGGAGCAATAGAGAATAATAGGCAGAATGCGAGAGCCAACGAATTGTAGGAGTAAGGGTTAAGTTATACCAGAATGTCTTAACTTCTTGATGTAGAAGGTGAGACGGAATATTTTCTTAGAAATCGCCAAGATATGAGACGACCAGGAGAGATTAGCAGATAGAATGACGCCTAGGTATTTGATTTCCGATTTGGTTTCTATTTCAGTGCCAACTATGTTGCACACCTCGTGAGGGCCAACCAGTTTGTATAGGTCGGATTTATGCCTAAAGGTGAAACTGACTGTTTGGCATTCGGAGGGGCTTAAGGTAAGACCGTTTTCCTTGGACACATTTCTGTATATCACGATTTCATTGCCTTTCCACCTTTATATGTGCTTTTCTAAAGTTTAGCAACATGAACTGATGCACTTTTGTGCAAAGTTCTCTGTTTAAAATTAAGTTCAATTCAAAATTAGCCTTTCTCGAAGAATTGAGGGGCACAGTGGCGTGTGCTACTGACAAATTTTATAAGTAGTATGTAGATAATAGATACAAATAAGTATGTCAACTGCGAAAATATCGAACAATGGAGAGATGGATTCAGTGGTGAATAAAAAAAACGAGCGATTCTTGTGAAACAACCCGGAAAACATTAAATGAAGATAAAATTAATCACAGTATGCAGAAAATGTGAAAATTTTGATTCGAATATATATATGAAATATATATCCAAACCAAGTTCACTTTTGCAATTAACAGTGTTCTCTGAGCTGGTTGGTTTAGTTGCGAAGCTTTCGTCGTCCTTCTGGACAACATCTTCAGCGCCATATTTAGCACAAAGTGAAATGACTTAAATTTCTTCATGGGAGACGCAATTATATCACCCATGAAGAAATTTAAGTCATTTCACTTTGTGCTAAATATGGCGCTGAAGATGTTGTCCAGAAGGACGACGAAAGCTTCGCAACTAAACCAACCAGCTCAGAGAACACTGTTAATTGCGAATCATCCACCTGAGCTACAAATCTTCTCTGTTATTTCAAGTTCACTTTTAACAGTTAAAAAATTTGGGCATTGGGTATATGATATTCATTATAATAAAGGTTTCCTTGTATTTCCCAATGAATGAAAAACACAACGATATTGTTGTTTTTACTGACGTTTCGTTATTTCAAATGCTGCTGCTCATAGCTTTAGCAAAGTAGTAATATTAAACCAGAATTAACAAAATCTCAGCATTTATATAACAACTTAATCATCCTTCCTCAGCATGGGCTCATTTTCGGCTTGTCAAATTGGCCAACTGGTAAAGATAACAAAACCAAGTGTAGATGACTGTTGGATTTATAAAATTATAAAAGGTGGCATGTGTTTACATAATGAAATTGCTTATCACATTCGTGTTGATTTTGTCATTTCATGCGAGAAATCGGAGCTGTTGGAACCAGGTCAAATTCTGTTTTAGTCCATCATTCTTATACAGACTATTTGGATTCTATTTGATCATGTGAAGTGCTTCTGGTGATATTAGACGCTCCTTGTGATTTCTGAAATTTTTCTGGATGATGATTTCAATATTGTCAAAATCAATTTTGTGACCTGATTCTATAGCCTGTAGACCTATGGCTGATGATTTTTCAACTCTTTCTAGTTCAACCGGATTTCTCGGTGGTTGGAGAGATGCTCTACGGTGTTCATTTCTTCTGATTTTGATTTCTCGAGATGTTTGTCCGATGTATATCGCATCACGTTTCAAGCATTTTATTTTATAGATACAATTAGATTGAGAATCTTTAAGGATTTGGTCTTTTACATGGACACGGTTGCTTTGCAGTGTGTGTGTGTCTGATATTTTGAAGAAAACTCTAATGTCGAGCTTTTTGAGTGCTCTTCTGATGTCTCTGCTCTATATGGAATGACAGCTGCTGACGTCCATGTTTTCGGAATACGGTTTCGACCATACCATTGTCAGTATTGATTTGATTGATGAAGTTCTTTAGGTAATTGTTTCGCTTGAGAGTCTCAGTAATGTTTGATATTTCTTCTTCCACTTTTTCCTTTTCATCAGTTATCAGAGAGTGTGCTCATCTAAGAAGACTTGAAACAACTGATACCCTTGAGCTGACGGAGTGTGATGATCCGAAGTCTAAATATTTATTGTTGGAGTGGGTTTTATTCCTGAATATAGACATACTAGAATATCCGTTTTCCCTCCACTTAACTAGGCAGTCTAGAAATGGTAGTTCACCGACATCTGGTTTTGCCTGATTTCGAAGTCAACTGGATTCTGGGAGATACACAGTTTATTTTCTCCAGGAATGAACTGTGTAGATCTCGTTTTAAGCACTACAAAAGTATCATCCACATATCTTAACCATATTTTAGGAGTGAGTATTCTTGAAAAGATGTTATTTTCGAATCTATTCATGAAAAGGTCAGCGACTATTGGGGAAACTAGTGAACCCATAGCAACACCATTTGTCTGTCTATATAAATTCCCTTTTAATGTAAAATAATTACTTTCTAGACAGAATTTCAAACTCTTAATTATTTCACTGGTGTCTAATGGACATCTCTGGAATAGCGTTTTATTTGATTATAGTAGACTGGAAATGATATCAAGACTTTTGGTAAGAGGGATACTAGTATATAATGAGTTAATATCATAGCTTACCATAATGTCTTATTCATCAATTTCTTGGTGTTCTATTTGAGATTTGAAATCAAATGAACATTTTTTACCATAATCTGAGTGTCCTTTTGTAGTGGTTGTAGTATCGAAAATAAGTATTCTGGTTTAATAATACTTTCATAAAGCTATTAGCAGCATTTGAAATAACTAAACGTCAATAAAAACAATATGGTTGTTATGTTTTTCATTCATTGAGAAATAAAAGAAAACCGTTATTATAACGAATACATTTGATAGATGTATTTCACCCGCATCTGTAAATTCAGGCTTTACTGTCTTTATTTTTATTCCTTTACTTTCCAGTAAAACACAGGGGGCTTCAAGCTAGAGCATTGAAGTTACGGTAGCAGTGGTACTTACGTTCACGGGATGGGGTTTCCAGCCTCACGCTAGCCTTATATACTGGCTTAGCAAGGTAAAGGAGATTGTCAGCAGGGGATCGAACCCTTAACAGCATGTATGGTTGGCGAGCATTCTACGTCTGTGCCACCAACTCCCGTAAATTGAGTTCTTTTCCTTCACGTTCCCCAGTGGAACATAGGGCTTCAAGCTAGTCGCTTGAAGTTTCTGTAGCAGTGTTTATTTTACAGGATGGGGTTGCTAGCCTCATGCCCAACCTTTCCTCTTCACCAGCACTATTTCTGGCTTAGCGAGGTAAAGGAGTGCGTCTGTGGCCGGGGATCGAATCCCGGACCATGTGCATGGTCGGCGAGCGTCCTAACCGCTATGCCACCGACGCCCGTAAATTGAGTTGGTAATAGACAATTCCGTCACCAAGTACTCTTCTGTCCTGCCATTTATAAAATAACCGAACTAAAAGGATATTGAAACTTTAATTAAAATATCGAAGACTCTGGTTTGATTGTGCTTTAAATTATCTTTTAAAGCAATTAGTTCCCTTTATAAATTTCGACAACACAATAAGAAGACGTAGTTTATCTGAAACGTGTAATGTATTGGCGCAACACATTTCGGACATTCTGATCGCACACGTACTTGTCATACACAGTTTTTAAATAAAATGCAAGAAGGCATGAATAATTACAATACAGGTCTGATTGTATACAGGTCAAGGTCACAAATGATGGATAGGGAGACACAAAAGGTGTGGGTAAGAAAGGCTGCAATCAATAGAACCTATTATGCAGTTAAACTTATCTTCATAGAGAAAACGAGGACTATGCTGTTCTGTAAACCCTCACATCATCCGAACGATAGTGTCACATCCCACTGTGTTTATCAATTTACATGTATGTGTGGAGACACGTACATAGGGAGGACCCATCGGTCTCTGCAGGTTAGGGCTACAGAACACATTCCAAAGTGGCTGCAACAACAAATGAAATCGCCAGACACAACTGACCCCGGAAATAGATGTCCAACATCATCTATAGCGAAGCACATTATAGAGACAGGTCATAAGGTTGATTTCAACAATGCCTTTAAGCTGATATATAAAACAAGGTTGGGCCACATACTTAAATTCATTGAAGCCTTAGACATAAAAAGACTTAAACCTGTCTTATGTGTCCAAAAATTATTTGTGATCACCTTAAATCTGCCTTGGTAATCCAATTTAGAACCAAGGACCAATTTACTTCCTAATATTTTCAACCCCTTCTTTGCCTTGTTTTTTCTCCTTTTATCTTTCTTACCCACACCTTTTGTGTCTCCCTATCCATCATTTGTGACCTTGACCTGTATACAATCAGACCTGTATTGTAATTATTCATGCCTTCTTGCATTTTATTTAAAAACTGTGTATGACAAGTACGTGTGCGATCAGAATGTCCGAAATGTGTTGCGCCAATACATTACACGTTTCAGATAAACTAAGTCTTCTTAAATTATCTTGTAAATTGTAATCATTAAACCCTGTGAAAAAAGTAATACAACTTACATTTTCGATATTCCATAAAAGACTCAGGATCTTTTTCACCAGATCTAATTTGATTTTCATGGTGTACAATTCTGCTACTATCTGATTCTATGAAATGTTGACTGTGCTCTTCATTAACGTTTGAATTTTCATTTAAATTTGACTCATGAGTATGATTCAGTCTTGTGTAATCTCTAATAGATTGTTTCTCTTGATACCATTTAATGTATAAATATAAATCTGTGATTGTTCCGGTTATAACAAATATTGTTAGTATTGAACATATTGATCTGGAAGGAAATTTGAAAAAATATTATATATATATATATACCAAGTGAAATAATTACAAAGAAATTAAGAAAATCAGTTCAAAGAACTTTTAATGCTGGCAAACTACACGTCTTATTCTCTACACGACCGGTGGTGATTCCTCGACTGAAAGATGAAGTACCTAGACTAGACGAGTCACTTCAAATTGTATCTATCAATTCAACTTCGCTTATGCTGGAGCGAGTTATATCGACCGTTGCTCTAGGAATCTGATTTTTCGTGCTCACTCAGGAACATCTCTCTGTATGGCTAAGTACGGATGTAGTGAAATTGGACCATCTGGTACAAACCGGCCACAACGCCAGCTTTGAAAAATCCTTCTCTATCATCTACTGGGTGCCAAATAAATTGCCACAAAAACATCGAAGCACCGCATGCTCAAAACAGTAAAGGCTATCGTGATTCGCGTGAAACAACCAGTGCTTTGTGTGTAGAAGAAGGAAGTTAAGCCACTACTAGTGCTCTGGCCTTCAGTATAATTTTTTTTAATAATAATCTACTTTATTCTGAAAACAGTACTTATAATACAGAATGGAATTCTCAGTATTTGTCACAATGTTGCATCTGATTCACTCAAAATATAAATAAAATTAAAACAAAATTAACCGAAGGAATTTTTCCACATTTACGACATAAAATCAAAAATATTCGAAGCACGAATTGAGATTATCAAATATAATAAAAATAATAATAATAACAGTGAGTTTGTTTCAAAAAGTATTGTCGATTCACTTTAGAAACATTAGCATGTTATGGATTATTGGATCTAATGTTCTGTTGATATAGTATAGTGAGGGGAAATACAAAATTAACAGTTATAATACAGCTCAAATCATGTCCACACTTATGAAAAAAATAAACAAAACAAAAAATTGAGAGGATTATAAATGTAAGAAATACAATAACAATAAAGTGGAGGAAATGGTTTATTTAATGGTGCTAAGAACGTTAGTTAGTTCATGCCTGACACTATTTTCAGCACATAAAGTACGTGCTAAATATGATATAGTGGAATTTTTATACTAAGACGTACGTGCATAAAGTCTTCTGAAAAGACTTCTTGTGTTTTACCTGAGGACATGAGACAAGGTTGGAGCTGGGGGTAAGTCAAGTGGAGGCTCACAATCTGACAAAATCCCTTCAGCAAATCTGTTGCATGAAATCAAGTGCCCATCGTCAATGACGATGTCAACGATATGGCCCAATGGGATACCACTCGCCCTACTGACAGTCTTCAGAGTTCTACGAAGTATGACGGAGTCTTTTTTAAGCAATCCAGGAATTCATGAATTTGTAATAGTATCTTTCCTAATTTTTCTGACATTCAGTTTATTTTTATGTTGATGCTATTGAACTGTAATCCACTGATGTTATTATTGATTCGATGTTATTTAGACAGCACTAGTGTTGTTCATAACTTTAATTCATTCATTCACTATACTGTATATATAACTGTAGAGCCTGATGATGTAGGGGTTATCGACAAGCGTAGCAATGGGATGGATCACCAATACCCCCTATCGTAGCAGATATATTTATGGATAGTTGGGAAAATATGGCACTTAATACGTTTAATCCTACTCCAAAAAAAATGGTGCAGATATGTGGATGACACTTTCACAGTGTTAAAAACAGAACATATCTCTAGCTTCTTGACACACATAAACTCACTAGTGGAGGGAATAAAATTCACATTTGAAGCCGAAAATGAGCAAGGAGAATTGGCTATGTTAGATTGTAAAATAAAACGAATAGAAGAAGGCAAACTACACACTAGTGTTCATAGAAAACCAACGCATTCTAATAGATATTTAGACCTCTTTAATTCATCTCATCCCTTAACTGTTAAGGCAGGCTTAGTTAAGTGTTTAACAAACTGAGCAATGGCACTAAGTAGCACAAAAAAAGACCTAAATGATGAAATAAAACAGATAGAAGAGGCGTTGGTTTTAAATAACTATCCTCTAAAATTCATTAGGAAGATTGAAAAACGACAAAATAAAAAGAATTGTGAAACTAATAATAATAACATAAATAAGAGAGAATATAAGTCATCTACAGTTATACCATATAAAGAGGGGACATCTGAGACACTACGTAGGATTCTAAACAAAGCAGGAATTAGGTTGGCATTTAAACCTACAAACTCACTCAGGGACAAGCTCTGTAGGTTAAAGGATCCAGTTGACCCAATTAGACAAAATAATATAATTTACAAAATACCCTGCAATGACTGTGATTTAAGTCAACTACATAGGTCAAACTAGTAGGTCAGGGGTAGTCAGATTGTCAGAACATAAGAATTTAGCTAAGGTAAGAATGGTTGACCCAGAGAAGATAAGTAATTTAGAAAAAAGCTCAGCAATTGCAATCCATGCATTAACACACAACCACACAATAGGGTGGGAAAGGGTTAAAATTCTAAAAAGTAATCTAGGTAGGTGGAGAGAGAGGTTGATTACTGAATCCTGCCTTGTTCATCGAATCTACACCCAACACATGCAATAGGAATGAATCATCACTCATACCCGAAATATGGAAAATACTACTACCAATCAAATCAAGTGAAAAACAACGGAATTATATAAATGAATTTCGGAAGTCGTGTGATTACCTTGATATGATTATGAGCAATAAATTGTGCTCAAAACTTTGTCATCAGTAAATATTACTGTATAACACTGTGAGACTTTATCAAGACAAAATTTACCCATAATGGAACTGAAATCGGTTAGACAACCATTGGAAAATCAGTAAGGAGTACTGGATGACTGCTTTTTCTTCTTAGTTTTCGACTCTTCGTCAGCACTCACTCACTCGTCGAGGTTCGAACAGTCACGAACTTTGACGAAACAGCTATCCAGTATTCCCCAGGTGGTTCTTCCAGTGGTTCTCCAACCGATGTCACCTCATGATGAAATCTTGTAACCAATCATATAGCAGTAAAAAATAACACTTTAATATATCGAATAGTATTCATTTGCAGGTAATATGTTCTATCGCTTTTATGGACGTAGTTCAGTAGTTTGTTAAAAGTCCGGCTAGCTAGCTACCTAGCTGTCATTGATCATAGATGTCTATGTTCTATCACCCGTGTTGTTACGTGGTGGTATTATAAGGTGAACAATATATTGACGTTAGGTGTCGGTTGACTGCTAGATGAGGAGGGGAAATCAATTGATGAAGCTGTGAAGCAGCTGCATTGACTGAGAAAGAGATGGTTAGGACATGTGTTACGCATGCATGCATGCCTAGCCTAGCGATTGAAACGTTCACCCCTACCCGAAAAGTATGGTGGAGGTATGTAGATGACACATTCACTGTACTTAGAACACAAGATATAGATAGGTTTTTCGAACATATCAACTCAAAGGTGGTGGCAATTCAATTCACTTATGAATTGGAAATTCAGGAAGGGGAGCTCCTAATGTTAGACTGCAACGTAAAGAGGAAAGAAGATGGGAAGTTAAACACTAGTGTTTATAGGAAACCCACACACTCATACAGATATTTGGACTTCCTATCATCCCACCCTATGTCAGTAAAAATAGGATAGGTGAAATGTTTAAATGACAGAGCACAAAAACTAAGTAGTACCAAAGAAAATCTAAAACAGGAACTGATACACATAAAAGAAGCCCTGAAACTTAATAATTACCCGGATAAATTAGTCAGGAAATATGTAAGGAAATGTAAAAATAAAATAAATAATGATAATAGCGATAGTGATAATAACAATAATAATGATAACAATAAAAATGATGATGATAATAATAATAATAGTGATAATAATAGTAATAATAATGATAATATTAATGACGAGGCCAACAATAAGGAATCTAAATCATCAGTAGTAATTCCATACAAGGAAGGAACCATTGAAGCCTAACGCAGAATTCTCAACAAGGCAGGAATAAAAATGGCATTCAAACCACTCACAAACTCAATTAGAAACAAGCTTTGTCGGTTAAAGGATCAATCCTGTGAAGCCTTTAAAACAAAACAATTCAGTTTATCTCATACCCTGTCTGCAATCATTGTCAAGTCAAATACATAGGTCAAACTAGTAGAGCAGGGGCAGTTAGACTAGCTGAACATAAAAACCTAGCAAAATCTAGATTGGTTGACCCGAATAAGATAAGAAATCTAGAGAATAGTTCGGCTATAACAGTCACTACATGTAATTACACACAACCATGCAATAGGATGGGATAGGATGACAGTTTTAAAATCTAATGTCACAGGGTATAGGGAGAGATTGATAACAGAAGCTTTGTTTATCGAATCAACTGGAAACACGTGTAACAGGAATGATTCAACACCTGTCCCAGATATCTGGAAAATTCTACTACCCCTACGACAACAAATAGGAGAGAACGAAGAAAGCTATAAAACTCAAGTGTCAAAGTCGTGTGATTACAATTGATATGATTATGAGCAATAAATTTTGTTCGAAACGTCATCCAGTAAATAATACTGTTCCATTGTGTGATATATCTAATAAACAAACTAATATGGAATTACTTACTACCACAAGTGCCCAAGTTTTACACATATATTAATACCTAGCCATCGCCTGACTCAAAAATCGGCAATGTTAGCTGACTGATATAGGATGAATCAGGTTGGAAAAGAGTAAGCCAGTGTTGGCCAAACCAAAACATGGCTTCATCATCAGTCAATGAAATCCACAACAGTTAGTTTAAGCCAGGCAGTCAGCCAACCACGTAGGTTGGGGTCCTCGGTACGGTGGTAAGAACCAATGAAGAAGGTTGGAGACAATTGGTGATATGGCTGGCTCAAAGTGATTGTTCTCAATGATGGTTGACTGGCGCAGATGCATCCACTCCTTGTGACTTATAATATCCAATAAAACTATATAGTTCTTCGACATTACTATACTTTACGTGAAGTGTGGCGACTCGAACTGCAGCTGTACATCGGTGCAAAGATCTACTTT